TGTCCCGTTAAATGGCAGGAACCCCAATCGAGCCATTTCCATTGCCTCCCAGGGTCTGCACTGGCAGGAAGCTGGAGTAGGAGCCGGAGCTGTTAAACAAGCCCAGGTACTGAAATGTTGGACAGAGCAACCTAACTAGTAGCCCTGTAGTCCTGTCTCCTGTTGTTGGTACTAAAACTCAAGTCCTTGTTAGGATTCTCTCATTCCTGTGCGAACTCAACCAGCTGTTCTGCCATCTGCTCTTTTTATCTTTTTGTCTCTTTATTGGGAGCTCAGCTAGACATAGAAAAAAAAATCACCCACCATTTCCGGATGTTTATTTTATTCTGCATTAAGCCACAACTGGCATCTTTCATATATTTTATTATGTCTCTTCTAAAATGCTTATATTTTTATTTGAAAGGCAGAGCATTTTTCTTCCACTGGTTCACTCCCTAAATGGCCATTAACAGCTGGGGCTGGTCCAAGATGGGAGTTGGAAGGCCAGAACTCAATGCAGGTCTCCTGTGTGGCTGGCAGGAACCCAGTCACTTGAACCATCAGCACTGCGTCCCAGGGTGCACATTAGCAGGAAGCTGGGATCAGCAGCGACTTGAACCAAGGCACAGGTAGAGTTAAAGACAGAGAGACAGAAAGTTCTTCCTTCCTTTGGTTCACTCCCCAAATGGCCGCCAAGGCTGGCGCTGCGCCAATCCGAAGCCAGGAACCAGGTGCTTCTGGTCTCCATCACATGGCATCTTAACTGCTGTGCCAGAAGCCTGTCTCCGTTTGTTAAAAAAAAAAAAAAAAAAAAAAATTATTTGAAAGGTGAAGATACAGAGACACAACAGGGAATGAGATATTGAGGTCTCCCGTCTGCTGGTTCACTAAACACCCACAGTGGCTGGGGGCTGCCTCCCAAGGTGTGCATTAGCAGAAAGCTAGGGTTGAGAGCAGAGCCAGGACCTGAACCAGGCATTGCAATATAAGATGGGCCTTATTATCTTTAATGGCCCTGTTCCGTTTTAAAGTTCTCTTTACTTTGCCAAGAACAATTTAAAGTAGTTCTCACTGCACTGTATTTTTTTTTTTTTTTTAAACTTACTGGAGTGTGAGCCCTTTAACAGAAACCTGGTCTTGTTCACCTTTTTTTTTTTTTTTTTAAAAAAAAAGACATTTATGGCCAGCGCCGCGGCTCAATAGGCTAATCCTCCACCTAGCGGCGCCGGCACACCGGGTTCTAGTCCTGGTCAGGGCACCGGATTCTGTCCTGGTTGCCCTTCTTCCAGTCCAGCTCTCTGCTGTGGCCAGGGAGTGCAGTGGAGGATGGCCCAAGTGCTTGGGCCCTGCACCCCATGGGAGACCAGGAGAAGCACCTGGCTCCTGCCTTTGGATCAGCGCAGTGCGCCAGCTGCGGCGGCCATTGGAGGGTGAACCAATGGCAAAAAGGAAGACCTTTCTCTCTCTCTCTCTCACTGTCCACTCTATCAAAAAAAAAAAAAAAGATTTATTTATTTGAAAGTCAGAGTTATACAGAGAGGAGAGGCAGGGAGAGAGGGAGAGGGGAGAGAGGGGAGGGGGAAGGAGAGAGAAGGGAGGGGGAGAGGAGGGAGGGGAGGGGGAGAGAGGGAGAGAGAGGGAGAGGGAGAGAGAACGAGTGCGCAAGGCCTTCCATCTGCTGGTCCACTCCCTAATTGGCCGCAGTGGCTGGAGCTGTGCCGATCAGGAGCCAGGAGCTTCCTCTGGGTCTCCCACACAGGTGCAGGGGCCCAAGGACTTGGGCCATCTTCCACTGCTTTCCCAGACCATAGTAGAGACCTGGATCAGAAGTGGAGCAGCCTGGACTTGAAACGGCGCCCATATGGGATGCTGGCACCACAGGTGGCAGCCTAACCGCTATGCCACAGTGCCGGCCTCCATCTTTGTCTTCTTAGCTTCTCTCACAGTGCCTACCACAAAGCAGGCACACAGTGTGTTATTGAACTGAAAATATGTCCCTGCATGAATACTTGGATCTGAATTTTAAAGAACTTGCTTTAAATTCAGAGAACAGGGGTGGATATTTGGCCTAGTGGTCAAGATGCCTGCATCCCGAGTGGGATCTTGACCGCTGCCAAATGCCCGCCCCAAAGACACTTGTTTTTGAAACTTCAGAGAGTTGCTCATTGAGGCAAGATTAGATGTCTCAAACATGCTACAATACATCCCATTTCACATGTTCTTCTTCAGTGACCCTACCGCTTGCCAGTCAAGAGGCAGAGTCTATCTTGGATCTGCGCATTCCCTGTGACAACTTTGGTCAGGAAGATACAGTGGAAGGGATATGTACCAATTCTAGACAACCCTGTCAAATGGCCTAGTAGCTTCTGCTTCCTGCCTCTTAGAACCCAGCTCCCTGTGCAAAGTGCAAGACAGCGGAGGGGTCCCGTGGAGGCACTCAGTCGACAGCTCCCGAGGTAGAGCCGATAGCCAGGCAAAGTGCATCCACCCCAGTTGAGTCTTCAAATGCTGCCACTCCCAGCTAGCTGCCTTCTGACTGCGACACCTGCTACTCCCAACTAAGCTTAAGCAGCCAACCAATCATGACCAATAATAAGCTATCCTTTTAAGCCAGTGTGTTTTAGGGTATGTTTTGATTAGTGTGATAGATAAGTGTAACACTCACTTATGGAGTGGGGATAATAGTTCCTGCTTTTCCATATGTGTTTTAAAATTCAGTTATTGATGTGAAATCACTTTCATAGAATAAAGCACTACATAACATTTCTTTTTTAAAAAAATTTATTTATTGGAAAGGCAGAGTTATAGAGAGAAAGGGAAAAAGAGTGAGAATCTTCCATTTGTTGGTGGATTCTCCAAATGGTCACAACAGCAGGGGCTGGGCCAGGCTGAAGCCAGGAGCCTGGAACTCCATCTGGGTCTCCCATGTGGGTGCAGGGGCCCAAGCACTTGGGCCATCTATCTGCTGCTTTCCTAGGCACATTAGCAGGGAGCTGGATTGGAAGTGGAGCAGCCAGGATTCCACAACCAATGCTCATATGGGATGTCAATGTAGGCAGCAGCTTCATTTGCTGCACCACAATGCCAGCCCCTATTTTGCAATTAAGTTAAAACCCTTTTACATTCAACAGAGGAAAGGTCATGCCTTGTTTCTCTTAAAGATATACCTTGTTCTCTGGTAGGGAGGGTGTGAGTATCTTACTCTCCACTAATTTGGGTCTTTCTTTGCAGGCATGAAAACTTCTCAGGGTATCTACAAAATTGGTGTTATGACAGTCTCACTGTGCCAAGAACACAATTATCTCCTCACTCTGTACTCAAACTCCCTAGCACCCCAGCTTTCACTCCCACTCCAACCGTACGCACTTAGTTTCTTCACAGAACAAAATCCTGTTCCTGTAACCGATCTTTGTTCGTCCAAGGCAAACTGTGATGACTGTGCCTCTGGATAAATGTTCCTTTAACATCCATTCTTCCTTATTATGAGGTGTTGGAAGTGGTAGTACAGGCATCACTATGGTGAATATAGAGGATATACTGGTTAACAATACAGACCACGGGGCACAGGTGTTCTGGCGCAACGGTGAAGCCCCACTCGGAACACCCATATCCCATGTCAAGAGTGCCTCCTCCAAGTCCTGGCCCCTCCACTTCTGAACCAGCTTCCTGCTGATGTGCATCCTGGGAGGCGGCAGGTAATGGCTCAAGTGCTTGAGTCCCTACTACCTGTGTGGTGACACCCAGATGGAGTTCTGGGATCCTGGCTTCTGCTTGGTTCAGTCCTGGCTGTTGCAGACATTTGGGGAGTGAACCTATGTGGAAGAGTCTCTCTCTGCCTTTAAAATAAAGTAGAAATGGGAAAAAAAGAATAGAGACATTGGGTTTGACTTTTTAAAAATATTTATTTATTTATTTGAAAGAGAGAGAGAGAGAGAGAGCTTCCATTCACTGGTTCACTTCCCAGATGACCACAACAGCCAGTTGGGCCAGGCTGAAGCCAGGAGCTTTATCCAGATCTCCCACTTGGGCCATTTTCTGTTGCTTTGCCCAGGCCATTAGCAGGGAGCTGGATCTGTAGTGGGGCAGCCGGGACACCAACTGGCACCCATGTGGGATGCTGGTGTTGCAGGAGGTGGCTTTACCCACTATGCCACAGTGCTAGAGTTCTTACTGGTTGTTTGACCTTTATCGTATGTGTTTAATACATTGCCTGACATGCATGCAGTAAGAGCCATGGACTAGCTATTATTATACCACTTGGTTGCACAGTTTGATTAGTTAGGCCAACCAACCAAGATTCTATTAACCAAGCAATTGTTCAGATTTCAAAAGGGAAATATTTTGTCTGATGTTCGAAAGCATTTTCAAAATTATGCTTCTATTTAACAGTATGGGAAGCTGAACAAATGACTACTTAGAACTCAACTTTCCCAGGCTCTACAGGAAGTCGTTTTAAAATCCAGTCTCTCAGTAAGCTAAGTTTAGGAGGACCAACGTTCCTAAAATGTAGTGAACATCAAGGCAGTGTCTGAAACTTGGAACAAAAGGCTATTTCTTTCTATTTGTAGCGTTTCCCCGACATGATGCGTCCATATATCTTAATGTACGTAGAGCGTTCCTAAGTATTTTGATAACTGGAATGTTCACTAAATGGAAAGTTATTCTGAAGAATGAAAACCAGACCTAAACTAGAGAAAAATCTGGATTAGCATGAGTACTCTAGTGGCTACAAGGGAAAACATCGACTTAGACCCACTTAACAAAATTTTACAATGCTGTCTCTGAGAAATGCATATATATAACCAAAGGTAACCCCACTTTTAAACCAAAGCCTCCGTTGTTTTATTTTTCGTCAGTATTGTTCCCGTGACCCATTGGGCATGTTTACTCTTTCTTTAAATATTAAGCCCTAAATGTAGGCACACCCTGGGAGAAAGAAAAAAATTTGGTGTCCAGGGCCTTTTGAGTCAGACCTGAAAAACATTTGGGATAGAATCACTGAGCAGGGTGAGACAGGAGAGGAGGGTTGAAGCACTTTTAATCACGAGAGAGTAAACAACAGTATCAAATCAGGAACAGCTCACCCAGTGGCTGCTGTCCTCCGGCCCTCGGCTCAGCCTCCGCCACCCCCCTGCCTGCGTACCATGAGCAAAGTGCAGGGAATCAGCAGCTGTCCCTGTCGTCACCAGGTGGTAGGAAGGGGATCTAGTTAGAGGCCACGGCAGTCTGGCCATCCGCCCAGGTCTGTGTTTCTATACAAAGTCTTCAGTGGGGATTCCAGCTCCAAAAGAGGAACCGTGCAGGAGCCGGGAGCTGAGCCGGCTTGCTCCATTCAGGTGGTCCGGGTTTAGAGCCTCAGGGCCAGGGCAGTAAGGGAGGACAGTCCAGAGCCAGCAGAATTCACATGCAGCCAGATCCGGGTTGGAGGTGGGTGCAGAGAGGGCCAGGAGAGGCCTTGTGGCCCCGTCCCGAGTTGTGCCCCAACCCAGACAATGAAACGCATGCATTTACACACACATACACGCATGCACGCATACACACACACACACACACACACACACACACACACAAATAACATTATTTAAAGGACCTGGAGGCTATTAAATACAAAATGGCAGAGTTTTTTTAAAAAAAAAAAGTGAAAATATTTGCTTCTTTGATTCTCCTCAGTGCCTTGCAGTCCCCTAGTCACAGGTGTGTAGATGTGGGGTGGCCCAATGGGCGCAGGTCACCAGTGGCCCTACAAGTCCATGTGTACTCGAGTTCCCATACCAACCACTTCACTCTTCAGCCCAGTGGCTGCCTCCCATGTGGCCGTTCACACAGCTGGCCCCGTTGCTGGGGCAGCTGCCCTGCGGGCCCTTTGTGTAGGCCGCCACGTCTTCTTCCTCTGAGCTGCTCTCCACGTCGCTGCGGTCATCCTTGGACACCTGGGCGGCACGAAACCAAAGGCAGCAGAGTGAGGATAGGGTTTTCTGGAGAGGATCAGAGGCAGATTAAGCGCACAGAGCCCACATCCGAGCCCTGTTCCCAGTCTGGCCTACTTTCTGGCGACATCTGACTCCCGAGTATTATCTGGAGCACGTTGTCAATGTGCTTTGCCTGCTTTCTGTTTTCCTCTCTTGTCAGCTCTGATTCTGTTCTCTACGGAGTAGAAGATGCTTTGGGAGAGGGAGTGGACCTCTTGGCTGTGAGAACTGACATCATTCATGGAAGCTCCAGTTACCCCTTTTCCTTCTACACCTCAAAGAACAAGAAAGTCCAAGTCAAACAACACATATGACAGTCACCACTGCTTCCGCCTTCTGGTGCTGTGGATACTGCTTTATGCCTATTGGTTACCCTGAGTTTGATCTCCAAACCTGATCCCTAACAGCTCTAGCAGAAGTCCTACTATTCCTGGGCTCAAGCATCACTATTTCATGATACCACACCCCCATCTTCTCTCCTCTCCGATCATCAAGGTCACTTCTCTTGTGACACTCAGTACCCACAAGGTACGTGGTACAGTGGGGAAAAAAATGGATGGGCAGTTAGTGAAGAGGATGTCATCGGCCAACCTACACCTCCAAGTGAGCTTTTTTTTTTTGCAATTTCAAATGAGGAGTTTGGATAAGAATAGTGTTTCCGAATTCAAGCTACCCTGCAAGTCAAAGGTATTTAAAGTCCCATGGATCTTAAATGTGAAGAAGAAAAACCCAGGGAGACCATTGGCAGACTTCTGACCTCTGAACTCAAGGATAATAAATGTATGCTCAAAACCAAAACCGAAAAGTGAGTGAGAGGAAGGAATCAAAAAGAAGCAAGCCACAAATGCTGCTCCCAGGAAGTGGCCATTTATTTTGGGTCAGTTCTGTGCTCAGTGGTTTATTACAGCTGTGGACTTCTGATCGTTAGAAAATATTCATCAGAGGGCAGAACGTCTCCACACATGAGGGAAAAGGAGCTTCAAAAGCAAAACAAAATAGACTCAATTCTTGCTTCCAGTTAGGAAGGGAACCCGGCAACCCCAGCTCCAGTCACGCACAGCCCCCCAAGGTCAGGAGAGAGGGGACGCTGGAGACAGATCCGGGGAACAGAAGTGAGCAGGAGGAGCACCACGGTCCGGCAGGCACGCTTCCCCCGATACTAGAAGCACAGATACACTTACATGCAAGAGATGAAACTGTCCAGCTCCCACCAGGCATAGAGAAAAGGAAGGAGGTGAGAAAAGAGTGGAGAGTACAGAGTCTGGATCTAGTCCTTCCTGGACAGGCCACCTGGTCAGGAAAGAGAAGCAGAGGAGAAGAGAGACGTCCAGTAGCCACAGCAAGCTGCACGCTCTGAAACCCATTACGGTCTTGGAGAACAATGACACAGGAGAGCGTAAACACCCAGGCCCCATTCTGCCCAGCTGTCCTGGAGCCCGCGCCCTTCTGGCAGAGCCCCGCCACCTGGGATTCTGTGTCCCGGAGGCTGAAAGGCCTGGCTGCCCGGCCAGCAGGCTGACTGCTTCCCAGCTTGCAGGACCCAGGGGTGCGTTTCTTACTGATGGCATCTTTCTTTGTGCTCGTAGTCTTTTACACCAAATGCTTAGGGTCCCTGCCTCGTACCAGCAAGGGGTGAGGCAGGTAAACAGTTCTTCACGTAGACTACATCATGAGTATCACAGCATGATCATCTTGGTGTAGCTTAGAAACCTCAACACCCCACTCCAAAGCACTCTAACGATCGGCCTCTACGCAGTTTATATCTGGGTGCTCTGCCTGTGGTTGCCTTTGAGAAAAGGCCCTCATGCGGAAAAGAAAAATGCGAAATCCCTGGAAGTAGGGCAGCTAAGGGGCAGGACATGGTGAACGCCACCTCTCAAATTCTTTAACAACAGCCATTTTTTTTTAAAGATTTATTTATTTTACTTGAAAATCACAGTCACACACACATACACATACACACACACACACACACACAGAGAGAGAGAGAGAGAGAGAGAGAGAGAGAGAGAGGTCTTCCATCCTCTGGTTCACTGGTTCACTCCCCAGATGGCCGCAACAGCCGGAGTTGCACCGATCCGAAGCCAGGAGCCAGGAGATTCTTCCAAGTCACCTATGTGGGTGCAGGGGCCCAAGGACTTGGGCCATCTTCCACTGCTTTCCCAGGCCACAGCAGAGAAAAGGGTCGGAAGTGGAGTAGCCGGGTCTCCAGCCGGCGTCTGGCGCCCACATGGGATGCCGGCACTGCAGGTGGTGGCTTTACCTGCTACGGCACAGCGCCAGCCCCATGACAGCCATTCTTAAGAGACAGGAAGATGGTAGATCTTGCTTCTTGCATCTGTCAGGCCTCAAGGGCTAAACATTCATGCTGACAGAAAAGTTAAAAATTCTGGAGCCCTGGGGCTGGTGCTGTGGTGTAGCAAGTAAAGCCACTGCCTATGGTGCTGGCATCCCATATGGGTGCCAGTTTGAGTCCTGGCTGCTCCACTTCCTGTCCAGCTCTTTGCTATGGCCTGGGAAAGTAGCAGAAGACGGCCCAACTCATTGGGCCCCTGCAACCATGTGGGAGACCCAAAAGAAGGTCCTGGCTCCTGGCTTCGGATTGGCCCAGCTCCAGATGTTGCGGCCAGTTGGGGAGTGAACCAGTGGATGGAAAACTTCTCTCTCTCTCTGCCTCTCTGTAACTGTGTTTCAAATAAATAAATAAATCTTAAAAAAAAAAAAAAAAAAAAATTCTGGAGCCCTAGGCTTTGTGCTTGGTGAGCTTGAACAGATGGGACTCCCCAGGCTACAGAGCAAGAGATGGCCTGCGGGCTAATGCCCATGTTCCCACACAGCCCAAAGAAACCATCTCGCATCCTCACCTTTCCTCGGATCAAGGCTTTGAAAGCAATTCGTGCAATAAGGTAGGACCAGATGACATGTAGGACCTGTAGGATCAGGAGAAGGCCATTGAAGAGCCACCAGGAAGGATAGGGCCCGATCATCTCCCAACTCTCAAAGAGGGTCGTGTTCAGAATCCTGGAAGAGGAGTCAATTGTCAGATTCTAGAGTTAAAGCCGGGCAGAGCCCTGTGTGCTTCTTCCCCATACCTTACATCAGCTGAAGTTCCAGGGACAGGATAAAGGAGAGGAGGGGACTACAGGGTATTCTACTTTTTTTTTTAAAGATTTATTTGAAAGGCAGAGTTAGAGAGAGAGACGGCGATCTTCCATCTGCTGGTTCACTTCCCAAATGGCAGCAATGGCTGGTGGTAGGCCACAACAAACCAGGAGCCCAGAGTTGCTTCTGGGAACCCCATGGGGGTATGCAGGGGCCCAAGCACTTAGGCCATCTTCTGCTGCTTTCTCAGGTGCATTAGCAGGGAACTGGAAGGGAAGTGTAGGGGGATGGTCTTGAACCAGTGCCCATTTGGAATGCCGACATTGCAGGTAGCAGCTTAACCAGCTATGCCACAGTGCCAGCCCTCAGGGTTTTCTTTCTTAAAGATAGTAGAGATGTAAATCTTATGAATGGATATAAGGCACATTGTTAAGCATGTCAGATATGCAGAGGTTCAAAAAACTGGATCAGTAGTAGGTGCATCCAAGATAGTACATAGATGATTCCCCCAGAAGAAGCAAAATTTCCATTCCAGAGAGTCATCGACTTTGCACCATAAACTGGTGAATGTAGAATTGTGTGTGTCTGGGGCTGGTTTTGTGACAGTGGATTAAGCTGCCACTTAACACACCTACATTCCACATCGGGGAGCTGGTGTGAGTTTTGGCTACTCTGCTTCTGATCCAATTGCCTGCAAATGTACCTGGGAAGGCAGTAGAAGATGACCCAAGTATTCGGGACCCTGCTACCCACGTGGAAGACCTGGATGGAGTTCCAGGCTCCTGTCTTCGGCCTGGTCCAGCCCTGGCTGCTGCAGAGGGAGTTCTATGGAGAGTCAGCTTAGGTCAAGGAAAAAGCAGGACCCCAGGGTTCTTGGTGTTCTCTATTAGCTGAAGGGTATCACTACTAAGATACCTACCACAGCTCCACAGCCCTGGCACCTACCAGAATGGATAGATTCCTAGACGAGTGACCACGAACACAGCACTGAAGATCACAAAAAGGGTGTCACAGAGCCTCTGATACTTGGCATAATTTGCTAGCTTGGCCGCCTGGAGAAGGGAAGATAAGAATTGAGTCGGGGGAATCAGTTCTTGCATAGGAAGAAAAGGACAGAAAAGGATGACGACCAAAGAGAAGCCGGATTCTCACCTCCAGCAGGAAGTCTGAGGCATCATGAAGACACATGACCAGAGTCCCCACCCGGACCATGTTGTTGATGTAAGAGAAGGTGATCAGCCCGATGGTGGCCAAGTGATGCACAAACATAATCAGGAAGTCCTAGGAAGGAAAGGAAATAGGTGAGGTGCGGGCAAGGTTGTAGCAGTGCTAGTCAAACCATCACCTTGCATTATTCTCTGAGCATCTGAGCCTGCCTCTTGTAGGTTCCATTCTGGTTAGAGTCTCCCTGAGGAAGCTGCCTAGCATTTGACCCAGAACGCCTCCCCCATCAGTGACTGACCCAGAGCCTATGTTAATGTAGCCCAAAGCACAAAACACAGCAATTTTCTTTGATGATCTTGCAAGTACATAGTCTATTATGTTTTAAAATTCATATACATATTTCAAATTATATTAAAATTTTAACAGGAGGATCTGTGTGCCCTGATCATAGGTAATGAGAGGCATCAAAACTGATTATTAAATTTCTATGTTAACAAAACTAACAGATTAGTTTCAAACCCATAAATGCTAACCCTGGTTACCCTCACCCAATACCACATTTAGAGATGCTGCAACCACATTAGGTCAGGTAGACATCACTGAGAACATGAAGACTTTGACCCTTCTGTCTAGTTGTATGAAACTTAAGTCACTTCTAGGGGCAGACACTGGCTCAGCAGGTTAAACCACTGCCAGTGAGGACAGCTTCCCACATGAGCCCTGGTTTGAGTTCCAGCTGCTCTACTTCTGATCCAGCTCCCTGTTAATGCATCTGGGGGAACAGCAGAAAATGGCCTGAGTACTTGGGCCCCTGCCATCTGTAGGGGAGACCTGGACCAAGCTCCTGGCTTCGGCCTGGCCTAGCAGCAGCCATTGTAGCCATTTGGGAAGTGAACCAGTAGATGAAAATTACCTCTTTCTCTCTTTCCCTCTCTCCCTTTTTCCCTCTTCCTGTAACTTTACATCCAAATAAATAAATAAATCTTAGAAAAAAAAGTCATTTCTGTATGGGCAAGTCAATTCACTTCTTTGAGTCTTTGTTTCTGAAACAAATCATAAAATCCCTTCTGGTTGACATTCTTTGAATAAGTGAAGTAAGTAAAATGGGAGGGAAAGAAAAGAGATTGGGGTGGTGGTGTCCTGGTGTCACACAAAAGCCAGAAGCAACTTTTCTAGAAATCAGGCCTTGATATCCTCAAGTCCTGATCATCTTCTGAGTCTTGTAAAGTATAAGAAGCACAGGCAGCACTCCTCTTAGCTGGTTCACGGTCCTCATCCTGGACAGCCCTGAATGTCTTCAACAGACGCGATTCTTAATCAAGTCTCCTTTCTGGGAGCGTTACCAAGAGCTAAAAGTTCTATCACACCTACTTTCCCCCTCTTTGGTGGGCCTGTTAAGGAGGAGAACCCCATGGCAATGATGGTAGCTGTTAGAAAGGAAGATTTAGTAAGTTAAGGAGTTGAGCGAGTCCATGTCCTCACCTTTCTTTTAATGTCTATAAATTGAGAAAACATGAGAGACCAGTAGAAGGCCAATTCCATGACATAATAGTAGTAAAGTCCACTTGAAAGAGGCTGGAAGAGAGAAAGCAATAGTTAGAATACCAGCTAGTCAAAGATATATTCCATCTACACCACTTTCTCCTTCTCAGAGGACCAATATGCCCCCAATTATAAGACATCTTTCCTCTCCATCACCTCCCAAGATCTGCAGCAGCTAATAGATTTTTGGACTGGCATGAAGATTATTAAATCTCTTTTCTCCGCTCCTACACACACACACACACACACACACACACACACACACCCTTAGTACTCAACTTTTGGAGATGAGACATAGTTACTTTATACTATAGCCATCAATCAATACGTCTAGAATTCTGGACAATTAGTGCTTTTCAAGGAATTAAATTTACTCATGCTTTCCTCTCCCAACCCTCCAACAGTTCTCTCACATTTCTCCGGTATAGATTAGAACCAAGATGAACTGAAGGGAAGTCTACATTGTCCTTGATATAGACAGGACACCTGACCAGAAAGTACCTCACTACGTACAGGAAAATTACTTCTTTTCCCCGCCCTGGAGGGGAACCTGGAACAAAAAGCTCACTGGATTTCACTGCCACGGGGGCTCCAGAAACACCCAGATTATCCTCTCAGTCTCCCTAAAAAAATACTAGGGCAAATGCCATCTGTCCTGGGACTAACAATGCATTCTCACCCACCCTACTTTGTACACATACAACGGGACTTCAAAAAGTTTGTGGAAAATGGAATTAAAGTTTATCTTGGTAGAAAAAAACTTTGGAAATCCATGCATAGGTTTTGTGGTTAGCATACATTTCCCATGAACTTTCTGGTCCCTATCTCGAAATGGCTCAGGTCCTACCTGATATGGATAGCTGTGCCAGCACTGTCGGGTGTCCCAGAACCAAGGGGACTGAAAAGATAAAACACATCATCCAAGTTAGTCCCGGGACTCTCAAACATCTTGCTTCAAGATCTCCCCGGTGTATTCCCCTTCTTTCCATGCTATGGGCTAAAGAGGAACACAACAAAGAATTGTCCTTGACAGATTCTTTTTTTTTTTTTTTTTTGGACAGGCAGAGTGGACAGTGAGAGAGAGAGACGGAGAGAAAGGTCTTCCTTTGCCGTTGGTTCACCCCCCCAGTGGCCGCCACAGCCGGCGCGCTACAGCTGGCATACCGCGCTGATCCGAAGCCAGGAGCCAGGTGCTTCTCCTGGTCTCCCATGAGGGTGTAGGGCCCAAGTACTTGGGCCATCCTCCACTGCACTCCCTGGCCACAGCAGAGAGCTGGACAGGAAGGGGAGTGACCGGAACAGAATCCGGCGCCCCGACCGGGACTAGAACCCAGTGTGCTGGCACCGCAGGCGGAGGATTAGCCTAGTGAGCCGCGGTGCCAGCCTCGACAGATTCTTTATGAATCTCTAAAGGATTGAAAAATGGCTAGGTTATTCTTCTACAAGGAAGTGTTATAAACACAAAACTATGCTATGAGATAAATAAGGACAGGAAGAACTCGAGGGTAGTTCTGGGAAAACTATTACTACCTGGGATATAAAAACCTGGGAAGCAGGAAGACAGTGACACCATGCAGCAGTCAACAGAGGGGTTGATTCCGTGGTGCATCAGCATAAACTGCTGCTTGCGCCGTTCGCATCCCATATTGGAGTGCTGGTTCAGGGCTTGGCTACGGCTTCTGATCCAGCTCCCTGCTAATGTGCACAGGAAAGCAGTGGATGCTGGCCACCCACATGGGTATATGGAGTTCCAGGCTTCTAGCTTTGGTCTGGCCCAGACCTGGCTGTTGTAACCATTTGGAAAGTGAACCAGTGGATGGAAAAGATACCTCTCTGTCTCTGTCTGTTACACTGCCTTTCAAGCAAACAAATCTTAAAGAAACAAAGCAAGGGGCAAGTGTGTGACACAGCAAGTTAAGCCACTGCCTGTGATGTCACTGCCTCAGATCCAGCTCCCTGCTTATTTAGTACTGGGAAAGCAGCAGATGGCCCCAACAACTGGGCCTCTGCCACACATGGAAGAGCCAGATGGAGTAACAGGCTCCTGGCTTCAGTGTGGCCCAGCCCTGGCCATTGCAAGCATTTGCGGAATAACAAAGATAGATCTCTCTCTCTCTCTGCCCCTCCATCTCTCTAACTCTGCCTTTCAAATAAATAAATAAATCCTTAAAAAACCAAGAGCTCTCCATAACAGGTTCAAAAACCAAAAGAAAAAATTCTCAGTGAGGACATTTAGCCTAGCGGTTAAGAAGCTCTCTTCTGAGGGCCGGCATTGTTACATTTCGCCAACTGCTTGGGACATTGGCATCTGTATCAGATGTATCGAACCATCTGTATCAAACTTGTACTCTGTTCAATTCCTGGCTGCTCCACTTCCAGTCCAGCTCCCTGCTAATTTATCTAGAAACACAGTGGAAAATGGCTCAGCCAGGTCTCAAACCGGCACCCATATGGGATGTCAGCATCACAGGCAGTGGCTTAACCCATCACAACATAATGCCGGCCCCCAAGATGGAATTCTAGACTCCTAGTTTCAGCCTGGGCCAGCCCTGGTCATTGTAGCCATTTAGGGAATGAACCAGCAGATGGAAGATCTCTTTCTTTCTCTGTCATTTTGCCTTTCAAATAAATATAAGTATTTAAAAAAAAAAAAACACAAAAGATGCCTACTTCTTATATTGCAGCACCTGGATTTGATACCCAGCTCTGCTGCTAACTCCCAGCATTCCTGCTAATGAAGACAATGCGAGGCAGTGGCAATGGCTTAAGTAGTTGGGTCCCTGCAACCCATGTGGTAGACCTGGATTGAGTTCCCATCTCTTTGCTTCAACCTAGCCCAGCCCTGATATTGCAGGGAATTTGGAGAGTGAACCAGCCGATGGGAGTTCTCTGAATATCTGTCTCTTAAATAAATAAATTACCAAAATAAAATAAAAATCTCTAATGGAGTTAATTGTCCATTATATCTATGCTGTTGAATTTATTACTATTAAATTGCTCGTTATATTATTTTATCCTTTCAATGTCTGTAGGACCTATAGAGATACTCCTTCTCCCTCATAGATAATTCCTATTTTCTTTTTTTCCTAAGAGTTTACCATGTTTTTTTAAAAATAATTAATTTATGGGCCGGTGCTGTGGTGTAATGGGTAAAGTGCCGCCTGCAGTACCAGCATCCCATATGGGCACCAATTCTCGTCCCGGCTGCTCCACTTCTCATCCAGCTCTCTGTGATGGCCTAGGAAAGCAGTAGATGATGGACCAAGTGCTTGGGCCCCTGCACCTATGTGGGAGACCGGGAAGAAGCTCCTGGCTCCTGGCTTTGGATCTGCACAGCTCTGGCTATTGTGGTCATTTGGGGAGTGAACCAGCGGATGGAAGACCTCTCTCTCTGCCTCTGCATCTTTGTGACTCTGCTTTCCAAATAAATGAATAAATCTTTTTTAAAAATAATTTATTTTTTTATTTGACGGGCAGAGTGAGATAGATCTTCCATCTATTGGTTCACTCTCCAAATGGCTGCAACGTTAGTTTATCAATTTCAATTAAATTTTTCAAAGAACCAACTTCTGGCTTTATTTTACCAATTGGTAAATTATTTCATTAATTTCTACTTTTTAAGATTTATTTTCTCCCTGTAACTTACTTTGGGTTTATTTTACTCTTCTTTTTCAGATTAGAAAGTAGAAATTTATATCATTAACTTAAACCTTTCTTCATTTTAAATACAAAATTTAATGCTATGAATTTCCACTTTAGTTTACTTTAGCTGTATCTATGCAATTTGATATATTTTCAGCATCGTTCAATAAAAATATTTTATAATTTCCCTTGCAATTTCTTATTTGACTCACAGGCTATTTAAAGAGTTAACTTCAAAATACTTTCCATCTTATTATTATTGATCTTTTTTTTTTTTTTTTGGACAGGCAGAGTGGACAGTGAGAGAGACAGAGAGAAAGGTCTTCCTTTGCCGTTGGTTCACCCTCCAATGGCCGCCGCCGTGGTGCGCTGCGGCCAGCGCACTGTGCTGATCCGATGGCAGGAGCCAGGTGCTTCTCCTGGTCTCCCATGGGGTGCAGGGCCCAAGGACTTGGGCCATCCTCCACTGCACTCCTGGGCCATAGCAGAGAGCTGGCCTGGAAGAGGGACAACCGGGACAGAATCCGGCGCCCCGACCAGGACTAGAACCCGGTGTGCTGGCGCCACAAGGCGGAGGATTAGCCTGTTGAACCACAGCACTGGCCTATTATTGATCTTAAAATAATTACATTATGGTTAAAGAATACATTCTGTAAGATATCAATACTTTGCAGTAATTTATCAAGACTTTCTTTATGGTCCAGCACATGGTCCAAGGTGTTCCATGTGTACCTGAAAATGATATTTATTCATCAGCTGTCGACATGGTAGTCCACGAATGTCAACAAGGTCAAGTTGGTGGATCACGCTGTTCATTATCTTTTACATCCTTAGTGATGATGTTTTTGGTCTACTGATTTAGCCAGTTACCGAGGGAACAGCATTAAAATCTCCAACTATGTGCAGTCGTCTATTTCATTCCTTCAGTTCTGCCTAGTGTTTGCTTCCTCTATTTTGAAGACAACGATTATATCATTTAGAGAGAAACCATAGGGTACAGGGGAAAAATATGCAATCAGGAATCAAAAGGCCCAGAATTCTTTGACTTTGACACAAGTGAAAAGTAAGAATAATACCTGTTTCACCCACTTGGAAGGGGTGAAATTGATTCCATTTCTCTTTGAAAGAACAGGATTAAAAAAAAAATTTTTATTTATTTGAAAGGCAGAGTTACACAGAGAGAGAGAGAGAGAGAGAGAGAGAGAGAGAGAGATCTTTCATATGTTGGCCCACTTCCTAAATGGCCACAACAGCTAGGGCTGGGCCGGGCTGAAGCCAGGAGCCAGGTCTCCCATGTGAGTGCAGGGGCCCAAGCACTGGGGCAGTCTTCCATTCTTCGGCTGCTTTCCCAGGTGCATTAGCAGGGAGCTGGATGGGAAGTAGGCTGACACAAGAACAGGGTTTTTGTCAAGCACTTGGTAAACCATCAAGCACTATTCTAATTTAATTCTTTCTATTGTTATTAGTATGACAAGAGGGCTCATGAGGTCACTGAAGTCAGCCCCCAGAGGTAAGGCAATCTAGTAGCATACAAACCTGGGCTGCAGGCATCACAGAAAAATCTTAGGGAAACATAAAGATCTAAAGGAACTTAACTGTTATCTCCAGAGATCTATACATGATTAGAACACAATCAGAAGGCCAGAGAAAGTTCAGACTCACCGACCAGAGAAATCTAATTCCGTAGCAGAATATACATAAATAAAAAGTGAATCGCCACCTGGGTGGGCAAAATGTACAGGTTAGACAAACGTCTAGTCAGCAGAAAGTCGCTGTGGGAAGCAAAGACCGCAGATCCAGGGAGAAGACAGTTATTCGTGAGCCTAAGTCTTCCAGAATAGGGGCAAATACCGTTGCCTAAAAACCAGTCTCCTTCCAGCCTCTGCCTATAGCAGACTTCCACAAGTACATATTGGCTTTAACACACTTTTCTTCCCTATCAGACACCCTGGTATAATGCTAATGTTTGTCTTTGCATGGCATGACTAATACAATACTCTGCTCCTAAGGCTGATTAGTGAAAACCACGCGAAATGAAGGATTATATTTCCTAGTGGAGAGACATTTCCCACAAAAACATCACTTAAACTGCTGACCCTATCAAGATGTACGAGAATGTGCTCCTCTATCTACCTAAGTGCAGTTACAGGAATTCACTCCCAGTCTATCTGGGTAATGGGAGCCAAATAGAACCACATCTAGCTTTGTAGTAAGCATATACAAGGTACGAAGGGCCACATGTTTGCTAGTTCTGTTCTTTTTTTTCCCTGTAACAGGCTAAGTTAGTCCTCCACATCCACTGACTGTTATCCTAATAATAGAAATGACTTCCAAAAAGGAAACCTCAGTTCAGTTCTATCCCTGCCCACCTCCCTCTGCACACCTACATGCTTTCACAGAATTTAGTGAGCGTTGGGGGCTTGTTCTGATTCCTCCGATGGCGAAACCAGCATTGGATTTTTCGGACATCCCAGTCCAGTTGCTTTGACAGGCCCTCCAGCCTCTGCTCATCAGGATACTGTAGATATATGACCAGAGTCAGAATACCCATTTTCCCTCACACCCCTCATTAAATCTTTTTGACCAACCAAGTGGCAGAAGGGTGATACTAACATTGGCCCAACTGATGGTTACCACTCCAGGTTTTATCCCAAAGTCATTTTTTGCAAGAAATTCTAGCTCTTAAGCTAAGGGCCTTAACTGCTTACTTACACACATCCTTGTTTGGTCTTCTCCCTCCAGTCCAAGCTGAGTTAAAAAAGCACATTCAAAACCCAAACTGTAAAGGCTGCTTGTACCACCCCCATCCTGATTATGCAACTAAGCAGTGACAGAAGCTGGAGCAAGGAAAAACAAAAATAAGATTTGACACGATTTTGGGTAAAAGGGGGTGCAGATGGCCGCTGGGCCTAAAATTCAAAAGCGTAAACTTGACCATGTAGGGGCCCCTGGCCCACAGGGACTTCTCTAAGGTGATGAAGTTCTCCTTATGGCTGTGAAGACTACCCAAATGTTAAAGATCATCCCATTCTGTCCTTACCTCCTCTGCCCTATGGAACAACCCCTCACATGAGTTTTCCTATGTCCTTGGCCACTTACCTTGGTGATAGATACGAACACCTTTTCAAGGATGGCATTGGGTTGGGCCTGATAAGGTCCACTGTCCTCGATGCCAACATGGAGTGCACAGGGTTTAGCAATAAATCTGCAATGGAGAAAACCCAAAAGCCAATTCTAAATAGGGTTTGCTATACATGAAGGATAGATCCTGATTAGTGGACTGTTGGGAAGAAAACAAGGAAACAAAATGGGCAGGGAGCTAGAACTTTTTGATTTTGTCCTGGATTCTACCACTGATATACTTGAGAACTGACCAACTGATGAAATACTGGGCACGCCAGTGCTGAGGCATAGTGGGTAAAGCCACTGCCTGCAGTGCAGGCATTCCATATGGGCACCGGTTAGAGTGCTGGCTGCTCCACTTCCGATCCAACTCTGCTGTGGCTGAGAAAGCAGTAGGAGATGGATGGCCCAAGTGCTTGGGCCCTTGAACCCGAGTGGGAGACCCGGAAGAAGCTCCTGGCTCCTGGCTTCGGATGGGCGCAGCTCTGGCAGTTGCGGTCAACTGGGGAGTGAACCAGCGGATAGAAGACCTCTCTCTTTCTCTCTGCCTCCCCTTTTCTTCTCTGTGTAACTCTTTCAAATAAATAAATAAATCTTAAAAAAAAAATAATGGGAGGTGGGCATGTAACCTAGCAGTTAAGATGCCCACATCTCCCTTGCAGAGCCTTGATTCCACACTTGGCTCTGGCTCCTGACTCCCACCTCCTGCTAACAAAGGCCCTGAGTAACCGAGTTCCTGCTACCCACAGAAGCCCTGGAATGAATTCCTAGCTCCCAGATTCAGCCTGGCCCAGTCCCTCTGAAGGTATCTGAGGAGTGATCTAGCAGGTGGGAGATCTCTCTGCCTCTCAGATGAATGAAGATCAAATAGAGAGTGAGGAGAGAGAGACATGTTGGAATGTAAGCTCTCTTTTCTGACTTGTCATAACTTATTGAGCTTTGGAATCAGAACAACTTAGATAAAATCACTATTCTACATTTACTGCATACATGACTCTGGCCAAGTTAAGCCTCAGTTTTTTCATCTATAAGCAGAGGAGAATATCAATCCCCTTGCTACTCAGTGCATGGTCCACGTCAACAGCGTTACTGGCATTTCCTAGAAGCTTTTTAAAAACACAGAATCTTGCCAGAGCTGTGATGCAGCAGGTTAAGTCTGCCTGCAGCGCCAGCATCCCATATGGGCGTTGGATTGAGTCCTGGCTGCTCCACTTCTGATCTAGCTCCCTGCTGATGGTCTGGGAAAGCAGTGGAAGATGGCCTAAGTACTCAGGTCCCTGCACCCGCTTGGGAGAACTGTAAGAAGCTCCTGGATTCAGATCGGCTCAGCTCTGGACGTTGCAGCCATTTGGGGAGTGAACCAGTGGATGGAAGACCTCTTTCCCAGTCTCTCCCTCTTTGTAACTCTGCCTCTCAAATAAATTTCAGCCTGGCACAGCTTTGGCCACTGTGGCCATCTGGGGAGTGAACCAGCAGATGGAAGATCTGTCTTCCACTCTGTGTTAACTCTTTCAAAATAAATAAATCAACCTTAGCAAAAGAATCTGGGGATACTGTCCAACTGCCACCTAGCTCTGCTGCTAGCAGGTGTAGGGACTCATCTCAGGACTTGGTCTTTTCTTTTTCTAGCTAGCATATGTAATGGCTCAATACGCTATTTCAGAGAGAAAAAAATGCGTAATTTTGAGCCCTATCCCAGCCCTGAAATATCAGAATCTGCATTTTTAACAAGCTCCCCAGGTGACTCATATCCTATTCAAATGGGAGCACTTTCTACTTTTTAATGAGATAATGTATACGGAAGACCGATACAAGCGAGGTGCTTAATAAGCGGTTTTCTGTATATCAAAGGACGAAGAGCTTAACTGGAGGGGAAAGTGGAATGGAGACTGAGCTCTTCCTGAGTCACAGTCACCTTCCTGCATGACCAAAAGAAATATTCTGGAAATATTTAGAACTTTTTGCCGGCGCCGCAGCTCACTAGGCTAATCCTCCACCTTGCGGCGCCGGCACACCGGGTTCTAGTCCCGGTTTGGGCACCGGATTCTGTCCCGGTTGCCCCTCTTCCAGGCCAGCTCTCTGCTGTGGCCAGGGAGTGCCGTGGAGGATGGCCCAAGTGCTTGGGCCCTGCACCCCATGGGAGACCAGGAGAAGCACCTGGCTCCTGCCTTCGGATCAGTGCGGTACGCCGGCCACAGCGCGCCGGCCACGGCGGCCATTGGAGGGTGAACCAATGGCAAAAGGAAGACCTTTCTGTCTCTCTCTCTCTCTCACTGTCCACTCTAAAAAAAAAATAATAAAAAATAAAAAAAAAAAAATAGACTTCCTTTTGTTTTTTTTCTTTGACGAAATAGAACTTTCAGTAGTTCTGAATAAAGAAATCAGAAGGCAGGAGGGAAATTACCTATTCACACTCAATTCTATTGCCAGATCTATCAGTAACTTGCTTAAGTCACTTACTCTCTTGGGTCTTGGTTTCATCATCTTAAAGAAGAGGTTACACAAAATGATTTCTAAGATTTTTTTTTTTTTTTTTACAATTCTATGATGTTATTGATTGTAATTAAGCTGTAGCTTTTGGATCTTTAAAAACTGAGGAACTGGGAGCTGGCATTGTGGCACACTGCCTGCCAACATTGGCATCCTATATCAGAGTGCTGGTTTGAGTCCCAGGTGCTCCATTTCCAATCCAGTTTCCTGTTAATGTGCCTGGGAAGGCAGCAGACGATGGCCCAAGTGCTTGGACTGTTGCCACCCACATGGGAGACCAAGATGAAGTTACTGGCTCTGGACTTCTGCCTGTTGCAGGCATCTGGGGAGTGAACCAGTGGATGAAGATTCTCTGTTGTGCTGCCTTTCAAATAAGGCTTATTTAAAAAAAAAAAAAAAAATTTGAGGAACTGGTTTTCCAAGAAGAATCTCGCTCTCCAACACAGCAGAGATCTGTGTGAGCATCCACTCTAGGAAAGCTCTACAGAGCCCTTACAGAATTAGCCAAAACCAGTTTCAGCCCCCTTAGCAGCATGGGCAGTCCCACGCTGAAAATGTGCTGAGAGGCAGAAGACGCAGTGCTCCTGACCTGTTTTCTTGACCTGCATATGAATCTAGATTTTATTATCTCTAAAGGACTGAGAGTACGAAACTTTACTCTTTCTCTATGAAAAAAAAAATTTTTTTTAATTCTTATCATCAGTGAAGTTCCTGAGCTGTAAGGAAACATTGATTCAGAGTACAAAGTTAGTCACATCAGTAACCCATTCTCTTTTACATGGGAGGTAAAAACAAGTTCCATTCAAAAGGTCAATGTTATTGGATATCTTATTATATATTGCTGGTATATTATTCTGCACACCAATAATTTAATCCCCAGCTTGTTTCATCTCTGTGCGACACAGATAATATATTCCTTTTGTATTTACCAAAGCTCTGTGCTTCATAGCTGCTCAGTAACCAACAAGTGACTTGTCTAGAGAAATCCACTTTGGGAGCTCAGTTTGGATCCAGGATTAATCAGCATTCAGAAAAATAATGAATGCAGTCATTCTTTGTTGTTGTGCTGATGTCATATCAGAAATATAGGTTAATCCTCCAGCTGTGGTATCGGCATCCCATATGGGTACCGGTTCTAGTCCAGGCTGCTCCTCTTCTGATCCAGCTCTCTGCTGTGGTCTGAGAAGGCAGTAGAAGATGGCCCAAGCACTTGGCTCCCTGCACCCATGCAGGAGACTTGAAAGAAGCTCCTGGCTTCAGATCGGCTCAGTTCTGGCCATTGCGGCCATTTGGGGAATAAACCAGCAGATGGAAGATCTCTCTCTCTCTCTCTCTCTCTCTGTCTCTGTCTCTATCTCTCTCTCTGAAACTGTCTTTCAAATAAATAAAAATAAATCTTCAAAAAGAAAAGTGCATCATCTGTCTCCTCCCAGCTACATAATTGTACAAAGACCCAAAAGCAGAAAACAGCCTTTGCAATTCTTACTCTTTCCCTCTAACCCAGGCCTCTTCTTCAACCCAGAAGCAATTAAGTGATTACATCTTGGAAGGTGGAGCTGGATTTCACTAGCTGGCAGAACCCGGGAAAGTCACACACTTATTTTATATTATGGGGTAATATTACCTCATGGGGTTATTTTAAAGATGAAATGACTTGATGTATCTGACACTTGAACAGTCACTGAAAAGCAGCTGTTATTTCCGCTAGAAACAGACATTTCAGTATGGGTACTCTGATACCTTTGGGAAAGATGACAAGTAAGAAACCCTTTCACACAACAGGGACAGTTCTGTAGCCCACTCACCTGGGTGACACCAAGATAATAATTATGATTATCTGGACTGTGGAGCAGACTTAATGTCCTACAACTGTCATTAGTTTACACCCCACCCTCACTAGTTACCAAGTTCAGTGAAAAATAGAAAGCTACTAGCATTTGTCAGTGGTAGCTGTTTCACCCTAAGAATATTTACTTCACAAATATTTATCAAGCACCTATTTTTATGCTATCATATTAAGTTTTTTTAAAGGTTTATTTATTTATTTGAAAGGTGGAGTTACATTGAGGCAGAGGCAAAGAGTGAGAGAGAAGTCTTCCATCCACTGGTTCACTCCCCAGATGGCTGCAACGGCTGGAGCTGCACCAATCTGAAGCCAGGAGCCAGGAGCTTCTTCCAATCTCCCACAGGGGTTCAGGGGCCCAAGGACTTGGGCCATCTTCTACTGCTTTCCCAGGCCACAGCAGAGAGCTAAATAGGAAGTGGAGCAGCCGGGACTCAAACTGGCACCCATATGGGATGCTGGAGCTGCAGATGGGGGCTTTTAAATCACTGTGCCATAGCGCTGGCTCCTATCATATGAAGTTTTTTTTTTTTTTTTAAGATTTATTTATATATTTTAAAGTCAGAGTTACACAGAAAGAGAAGGAGAGGTGGAGAGGTGGAGAGAGACGTCTTTCATCCACTGGTTTACTCCCCCACTGGCCACAATGGCCAGAGCTGGGCCAATCCAAAGCCAGGAGCCAGGAGCTTCTGGGTCTCTTGCGCGGGTGCAGAGGCCCAAGGACTTGGGCCATCTTCCACTGCTTTCCC